TCTACGCGACCCCGGGCGTTCGACGCGGACTTACAAATTAACATCGCTCCGGGCCGCGTCTCTCTCCGCCGGATCTCCTCTCACGGCGCGCGCGCTTTTGTGTGTGTGTGTGTGGTTAGGTTACGTACATGGCCGCCGTAGCCGCGCGCGACGCTCTTTGGACGGCGGAAATAGCCTCCAGGCCGCAAAGATATATATTACCACGACGACCTTTATATATACACAACACTCTTTATATACGCATTCTATATATGTATACGCGTCATATTATATATATATATATATTGTGTGTAGTACTTTTGTAAGCGCCGCCGCCGTTCCCTCAACCATATATATATATATATACCATCATCGCGCATATATATATATTATATGTATATTATTATATTTAATATATAGGTACGTGTATAATATAATATTATATATCACCAGAATTGTGCGTTAAAAACACCTTCGAAACTTTTAACACTTTCCTCTCTCTCTCTCACACACGCTCACTCACTCACTCCCTATTTCCATATACCTACGTTTCAACTTTTCGATAATAATATATCATATATTATAATGCACGATAAGAATATACGTATAAATATTAAAACATATTAATGARCATAATATATATTTGAGTAAACTTAAATTATCATATCGTAGGTATATATACTATGTATATATAATAACGACGTACGCTTAGTGTACCTATATTTTAGTAAATAAATAGTGGGTGGTATACTGCAAAATATTATATATACTAGGTACATATTATTTTATATTTTGTAGTGTATAATATTATTTATCAAATTATAATATAATTATATATTTTTAGTTCATGTATTAAAAATATTTTAACCCCTCCCCCTTACCCCCCCGAAAATTGATCCTGGATACGTGCTTGATATATAGGCACCTATATAGTAATAATTACCAAGTAATTAATTGTTTGTGTGCAAATCCATCGTTCCAGAAACTACGMCGCGGCGTATTATTTTCACATGTGTATTGTTGGGTTTATGATATTAAAATGATCTGTTCACGGTTATTTTATTGTTGTTGTTATTATGTATATGTGCCAAATACGCGACGCATTGTTATAGTGCGCTAACCGTTCTGCACAAACGAAGAAATTGACGCAAATCGTAAATATTGTCAACGCGTGCGTTGGAGGATATTTGAAAAGCGAAATTCAATTTTAGACGTCAAATAACATTATAGGTATTGTATTATATTATATTATGTGTATATATAATATGTACTCGAGAGGATTTAACGGCTCATATATACGCGCACGTGGAACAAAACCGTTACACGCGCTACCTACACCTATATAATAACAATAAAAGTGTGTGGGCGCACGTCACGTATAATACGATATACATATTATAATATGATGTTAAACGAGTAGCATTTAAAATCAAAACATCACCGCGGACGAGGTACCAATTAAACCTTCAATAACACGCGGATATACGAGCGCAAGTACTTATACAATAATATAATATAATCAGTACACATTATAATCGGCAAAAATTAAATTATAATCTGTAGCAATGTGTTTGGTTAATTTATAGTTCTTGTTGACAACATAAATCATTGCATATATACTACCCGCCTAATTTTACACTAAATAATATCTAGATGTATGCCTGTATATATTATTAAAATATAGAGCATGGTACACGCGGCTGTTGTAAAACACTGGTAATCGGTTGATGATGTGTTTATATTTCGATTGTAGGAACAGATACGGCGCGGGGTTACGATTAATAATATTATTGTCGATAAGTCGTCGACGAAAAAAAAATTATGTATATCGCGATGGAAAATTAAAGAACAAATTATAACAAAGTGGGCGTGAAACAGCTGCACGTCGTGCCCAGAGGCGTTAAAATCTTCGCTACAACCCCGAATCGGTGAGAATTATGAAAACATCATTCAATGATCGCGCTGGTGAAACTATATACGTAAAATATTATAATAGTGAAGAACTATCTACATAAATAGTTACGACGTTCGTTATTAAAACAAAAACAAAACATTATTGTCAAAATCTGTATCGAGTTTGAAAATAAAGAAGTACTGCAATCGATCACCAGTCATATTTTACCCATATACTATATACATACATATACACTATAATACATCAAAATATATATCTATCATGACAGTATATATCGTGTTATATTATGGTTGTCGTCCGATTTATCATATYATATTTGTCATTTGACATTGTTAATTGTTATGGCCCCTACAAACTATATACTTTTCTGAGTAATAACTTATTACAGAATAATTTTGTAATATTATACTTTTATACTTTACTATATTTTGATACTAATAATTTACATAATTTCGCATTCGTTTCAAAAGCAACCACAGATTGATAGATACGCTATATATATATGTATATCTATGTATCATGTATGTATTTGATACGGTTGTTGTCGTCAGTCGTGACCACTATAACCAATGACCATATAACATTTTATTATACATAAGAATTTAAGATTATCGACTTATATAGGCTGATCAAGAGTAACTACGATATGTTGTACAATAATATACTATACWTATATATTCTATAAATAATATATAATATCTTTGGTGAGGTTATTATAGTCGCATAGTCGCTGATAAAAAATAGGTGTAGCCGGTATAATAGGTACCGACGAGGAATTTGT